TGATACTACTGCTGCTAATGCTACTACAACCACTGCTACTGACACCACTACTATAATGCTACTGCCGCTGCTAATGCTACCACTATTACTACTGCCGCTGCTAATGCTACTGCCGCTGCTAATGCTACCACTACTACTACTGCCGCTGCTACAACCATAGCTACTACCGGGCTAATGCTACCACCACTACTACTTCTATAATGCTACTGCCGCTGCTAAGGCTACACCCACTGCTAGCTCATCAGGCATTCCGCGTTCATATTGCCACTCTCTCACATATACTGTTATTGTATGTGTTTATTTGTGTGTGTGTGTGTGTGTGCGAACCTTTTTGATATTGTAAACCCGGGTGAGCATCCCGACGCCTCGGTCGTTCAGGATGGTCAGCTTTTCGGCCAGTTTCTGCTGGCTGGGCTGGATCACTCCCCGAGACATCTTCGGTTATATGTGTAGATTCAATCCAGATAGAAAATATGTAATATCAGGAATAATATCCGCAACTCGTAGTGATGTAAATAAAGGAGTTAGACGCCTGTGTTTCAGCAGGGATGTTAGATCTGGGCCATGTTTCCGGACTCCACCCCACCGTCTCTCTCTCCCTGGGTTTTCGGAGGATGGGGAGGGTTGTCCTGGTTTTTCCAACGAGGCTGTGCTGCGTTCAGGGAAACCTGGGAGATTAGTGTACCTGAGAGGATTAAGTGATACGATATGACAGATATTTAAATGTTTTAACAATGTGTGCAGAAAGTTTTACCAAAGACGATTAGGGCTACATGAGAATAACTTCTTTTTTTTTTATTACAAATTGGGCTTTTTTCAAAATTTTGACTTTTCTTCAGACTTTTTTCTTTAACAAAATTTGACTTAAAAATGCAAATGCTGCTATAGTGTTAATGTCTGTACTGACAACAGTAATCATGACAGATTGATTTGTGAATAAATAAACCAAAAAACATCATTTATAGCCACACCCTGAGCACCATTATTTTCTAAAAGTGTACTTAACTACTTTACTGTGAGCACCTGAACGCATCTCATTGTTGACGCAGCTTCCGACTGTCAGTGTTCCAGCTGCTTTGTTTCTCTCCCATTTTACCAGGATTTCTCCCTGCAAACAGCTCTGTATCTGTTATAATGTTATATAATTATATACAGTGAAGCAGCGATGATCTGACTGAGTGTAAATAGCATTTAACCAGGTGGGTGCACGGGAAAAAGCTCCGTAATTGTACTCACAAACAAACATTATACACACACACGTGACGTTATGAACTTAAATGCACACTTTTCAACTCCAGATTCCAGATTTTGCACATACAGTTTGCTAGCTGTTAGTAAATGCACCTTAAAGTTAAGTTTACACACTGTGGTGGAGCTTCAGGACAAAGACCTGCAGACTCGGGGACAGTTTATTAAGCTCAACTCTCTGACTGCTTTTTGCACAGCCCTCCACTTTAAAATATAGTTCACTGTAGTTTTCCATATACTCAATGTCCTAAGTGATTTTGTTTTTGAGCTTTTAAGGTTATTTGTATAGTTACATTTAAATTGTGTGTGTCTTGTCTTTAGCATATTTTTGTAATGCTAAATTGTTTCTTAACATTTTTGTGTATCCTTGTATATCTACTTTGCATCTTATTTGTTTAGATTGTTTATGTTCACAGCGGCAGACACTAAAGTAAAGTCCTTGTATGTGTACATGTTAAACAGAGTGCTAACCTCACTCTGTGAAGTGCCTTTCTCGCCATTAGTTATGAAATACTTTTACATCACATTACATGACACTTGTTAGTCACTTTTATCCAAAGCGACTTACATACCCAATACTGTGGTTAATCCCCACAGGAGCACTTTGGGGTGAAGTGTCTCAGGGACACAACGACATGCTGACTGCAGTGGGGTTTGACCCCCTGATCCCAACACCAACGCACAACCCACTGTGCCACACACCTCCTTATACTTCTCAGAGTATAGTGGGACAACAATAAGCTTCTGTAATATTGCATGTTTATTAGTGTCTCATTCGTTCAATTGCACTAGAGACACTGATGTATCTATATATCTATAGTATGTCAAATATATAACACGTTTAAGTACTACTACTACTACTACTGCTGCTGCTACTACTACTACTGCTACTACCTCCACCATCCTTCTTTCAAAGTTTCCCTCTGTAATCGTAGCATATATGTACTTTTTTTCTATTGAATACATGTGTATTAGAATTGTCAGCCATTCATTCAGGTGGGGGGAAGTTGTTATTCTTGAACTAGTGTTTAGACAAAGTGTGCTGTTGTTGTGTGTGTTGACATGTTCCATCAGCTGCTTCATTGATGAATGGAATAAACAGAAAGCTGTGCACGTGAAGGGAAAGGAGAGACTATTAAAAAGAACAAATGTACATTATTGGGTCAAATAAAAACACTGATCATGCTTTCTGTTTGGTCTCAGGTTCCTGCGATGCATTCACTGTCTCAGGAGATCCAGGGTTTCTCCAAGAGCCGTCTGAAGAAACAGTGCACGAGGGTAACCACGGTGACCGGCAGGAGGCTGCTGGAGAGGAGGGGGGATGGAGAGGATGATGATGGAAGAGGAGTAGAGGAAGAGGAGGAAGGAGCTGCGTTTGGATTTGTAGAAGATACAAGTCTGGACCTGCAGGTGGGCGTCGTGAGACCCTTCATACTGCTGGGTAATATATATTACTACAACTACTAATACTACTACTAATACTCATACTGCTGGGTAATATATATTACTACTACTACTCCTACTGCTGGGTAATATATATTACTACTACTACTAATACTCCTACTGCTGGGTAATATATAATACTACTACTACTAATACTACTACTAATACTACTACTGCTGGGTAATATATTACTACTACTAATACTACTACTGCTGGGTAATATATATTACTACTACTACTAATACTCCTACTGCTGGGTAATATATAATACTACTACTACTAATACTACTACTGCTGGGTAATATATTACTACTACTACTACTACTACTAATACTCCTACTAATACTGGGTTATATACACTTTACTACTGATAATGCTACTGCTGGGTAGTATATTACTACTACTACTACTTATACTACTAATAGTCCAGATTTGTACTCTCTTAGCCTTAAGACACTGCTCACAGCTTAAAGGGAGTTGAATGAACTCTGGTGGTGATTGATGTTTGTTGTGCTCATTTGAGAGCAGTTTAAGGAGAACGAAGTCAGCGAGAAACGACTGGAGGGTTTCATCTCCTTTTCTTTTACAGTTAGTAAACAACCTCATACAAAGCTGTCAAATGTAGTTTGATTTCTAACATCAGAGTGACTTATAAACCATTTGCTCCTCTATACAACTGAGATCTGTTGTCTGTCAGACTGCATTTGTTCCCCTTGTCTTCAGAAATGCTGTTAAGTCGTCCTGCGTCGGCTCAGATGTGTCATTTTAAATGTGTTTCCTCTTCATCTGATCTCCAAACACACTCCCCTTCAGACTCAGATGTATTCTCCATGTGGTGCATTAGGCATTAACTCAGCGTGGCTCCTGTCTCTGAGGACCGCTGCTTCCTGTCTCTGAGGGCCGCTGCTTCCTGTCTCTGAGGACCGCTGCTTCCTGTCTCTGAGGACCGCTGCTTCCTGTCTCTGAGGACCGCCGCTTCCTGTCTCTGAGGGCCGCCGCTTCCTGTCTCTGAGGACCGCCGCTTCCTCTCTCTGAGGGCCGCCGCTTCCTGTCTCTGAGGACCGCCGCTTCCTGTCCCTGAGGGCCGCCGCTTCCTGTCTCTGAGGACCGCCGCTTCCTGTCTCTGAGGACCGCCGCTTCCTGTCTCTGAGGACCGCCGCTTCCTGTCTCTGAGGACCGCCGCTTCCTGTCTCTGAGGGCCGCCGCTTCCTGTCTCTGAGGGCCGCCGCTTCCTGTCTCTGAGGGCCGCCGCTTCCTGTCTCTGAGGGCCGCCGCTTCCTGTCTCTGAGGGCCGCCGCTTCCTGTCTCTGAGGGCCGCCGCTTCCTGTCCGTATGTCTGTTGTTATCTGCTCCTGCTTTTCATGAAAGGATATTGGACAAATTGAAGAAGACTCTTTCTGTTTTCTCTCTGCTGGATCTTCTCATTTCCTTCATTAGTGTTTGACCTGCAGCCTCATCTGTTCTGTTGTCAGTATATTATACATTTAGCTGAAGTGTAACAGAACTCACAAGACGTTTCTTTGCTCCCTCTTTCTAGGAAAGCCATAAAGATGTGCTTTTCTGCAGCTGATATTGCATGTTTGCTGCCTGTGCCTCCTCTGCCTGTGCCTCCTCTGCCTGTGACTCCTCTGCCTGTGCCTCCTCTGCCTGTGCCTCCTCTGCCTGTGACTCCTCTGCCTGTGACTCCTCTGCCTGTGACTCCTCTGCCTGTGACTCCTCTGCCTGTGCCTCCTCTGCCTGTGCCTCCTCTGCCTGTGCCTCCTCTGCCTGTGACTCCTCTGCCTGTGACTCCTCTGCCTGTGCCTCCTCTGCCTGTGCCTCCTCTGCCTGTGACTCCTCTGCCTGTGACTCCTCTGCCTGTGACTCCTCTGCCTGTGACTCCTCTGCCTGTGACTCCTCTGCCTGTGCCTCCTCTGCCTGTGACTCCTCTGCCTGTGCCTCCTCTGCCTGTGCCTCCTCTGCCTGTGACTCCTCTGCCTGTGACTCCTCTGCCTGTGACTCCTCTGCCTGTGACTCCTCTGCCTGTGCCTCCTTTGCCTGTGCCTCCTTTGCCTGTGCCTCCTCTGCCTCTGCCTCCTCTGCCTCTGCCTGTGCCTCCTCTGCCTGTGCCTCCTCTGCCTCTGCCTGTGACTCCTCTGCCTGTGACTCCTCTGCCTCTGCCTCCTCTGCCTGTGACTCCTCTGCCTGTGACTCCTCTGCCTGTGACTCCTCTGCCTGTGCCTCCTCTGCCTGTGCCTCCTCTGCCTGTGACTCCTCTGCCTGTGACTCCTCTGCCTGTGACTCCTCTGCCTGTGCCTCCTCTGCCTGTGCCTGTGCCTCCTCTGCCTGTGCCTGTGCCTCCTCTGCCTCTGCCTGTGCCTCCTCTGCCTGTGACTCCTCTGCCTGTGACTCCTCTGCCTGTGACTCCTCTGCCTGTGCCTCCTCTGCCTGTGACTCCTCTGCCTGTGACTCCTCTGTGTCTCTGTGAGGCACGTTTATTAATACACACCTTTCAACACAAGGCAATTCAAAGTGCTTTCCGAAACTAAAAGACATTAAGAGCATTTAGAAATAGTGCAGCGGAAACACGTTATAAAATGACATTTAAAAACGGCCATTCAAAATCAAAGATAATCAAATAAACCACATGAATAAACCCTTGGATTACAGCCCGTGGAAGTCTCCCAGGAACTTCCCTTTCTCTTTTAGATTCCCAGAACCTGGGTTTCAAACCTGTAGAAAGGTCTTAAAGCCTCTCGGAGCCAGGAGACAAGTTGCATTGCTTTCTTTGTAAGAACCAGGAACAAGGAAGGTTCTCATTTTTACTTTATCCTTAGATTGTATTTGTGATTTAAATATCAGAAAATCGAGAAAATATCCTGTGGACTTTAGTGATCAACCAACTATATTTTAGAAGCTGGAACCGGCTGATGTTTGGCTTGTTTGATAAGTGAGGGATAATGTGCAACGACGCGGTCATTATGGGGAAAAGAACACGGACAGGCTGATCAGCAGCCCGACGCCAAGCGGAGGATCTAGATCGACATGCAGTTTGCTTTTCGGCCAAACTGTATACAGTTAAATCGAACTGACTTGTTTGTGCAGATGTGAGCGTCCTTAACAACGGTCAATAAGTGCTTGACAGCAGTCTGTCTATGTCACGTGTTCTGAATTGACCAATCAGAATTGAGTATTCAACTAAGCCATGTAATAAATGACTTTAAAGTAGGGCTGCACAACATGTTACCTTGTGCAGTAAACACATTCTGCTACAGATTATATTTTGAGTTCATTGAAAACAGGAGAAACCTGCAATTTAAAATCCTCTTTCTGCTTTTTATTGGTGCCTCTTGTGTTCAGATCAATTTGTAAAATAACAAACGAGGAATCATTTCATTCAGAAAGCTATTTATTTGAGCAGTACGCTGAAAGCAGCACAAGAAGCCGAACTGATTACAGTTTTAATATCTGTTTTATTTGTAATGTTATTGGATATTTTCCTCACATCTTGCAGCCCTTCCTAAAAGATGAATCAGTGTTTACAGGTTTAACAGAACTGATAACACTGAACTACACGCTGGATTTGTCTCTGATGTAAACCGGGAAGCTGGTGATAAATATTCATGTTAACAGGGGGGGGGGTTATCGTCAGCCTGCAGGGGGTGCTTTATTTAAAAATAGAAGTTTTGCTGAGCAGACGCATGAATGAGGCAGGCCCGGCTCCAGGATGAAATGACTGAGGGGGCTGTTACAAAATCAGAGGGGGCGATATTTTTTTCACAACAACGAAAAATACTGGCAATGAAATGATTTGACACACCGAGCTTTTTTCCTTCTCACTGCTCTACAGTCTCTTTGCTTCTTTATTGTTATTCCGGATGCACCCCTCTCCTTCTGTTCCTCTGATCTTCAATAACAGATAGTTCTTTATCAGATGGCTGCACTTTGGTTCACAGACTAACATTGATCTCCTCCATGTATAAATGGACAGGCTGTGTAATTACACCATAACCTTTTCTCCTCTGTCCCTTAACTCGTCTTCCTATCAGATTTACTCACTCACTATCTACTCTAGTCAGGTCAGGATTAAAGAAACATTCATCTGGTTGATTTATTATTTTCAGGATGGAATGTTCAAACCAAGGCCTAAAACCTGGCTTTCATAAGAAAGTGACTAATATATAAACCAAATGTAATATTGGATCAAACACCAAATGGACAGACGCAGATTAAACATGAAGTCCCCTGGTTTGCCTCTAGAGTCTAAGCCATGAGAACAATCAGATCAATGTTCCACAATGCGCCACTAGATGTCGCTCATTGCACCAATACGGTTTATATAATAACATATTATTATTCTAGTGAAAGGGCTCGCTTTGGCAAACACCTGATCCCTACAGGCAGCCCTCAATAATAACAAGTAACCATCATGTGTGGTGCTTTCTGTCGTGGTCTGTCTTATTAGTTGTTGATGTCATCTTGTTTCCACAGAGCTGTGAACATGAACTTCCCCCTGGGGACAATACATCTGATTTAATATTCAATCCCACACGTGGCGATTGAGAACATACATTCGTAACTTACCTCGTTTAAAACACTTTTGTTGTAAGAAGAAGAAGAAGAAGAAGAAGAAGAAGAAGAAGAAGAAGAAGAAGAAGAAGAAGAAGAAGAAGAAGAAGAAGAAGAAGAAGAAGAAGAAGAAGAAGAAGAAGAAGAAGAAGAAGAAGAAGAAGATAAGAAAAGAATAAGAATAAGAAGAATCATAAGAAGAAGAAGAAGAAGAAGAAGAAGAAGAAGAAGAAGAAGAAGAAATACGTTACAAAAGGCACAATCCTGTTACTCTGTTTTTACTGACATGTAACATTTGATTTCACCTTGCTCTGTTTTTTTAACACACTTTCAAAAACGGGAACATTTTCGGGAGTTTCAACCGGGTACCGGAAACGGGGACGTTTTGGTCCCCCATCCGACTGTGTTTACAAGCACACATGCTAACATATAAGAGGCTTCTCAATACTCAAATTTCCCCTCCTCTCTCCTCGGTTCCCCTCCTCGGTCCTCCGCTCGCATCTCCTGTGGGCGGGTCTAAGTCTCGAGGAGGGGAACCGAGGAGGGGAGTCGAGGAGGGGAAATTTGAGTATTGAGAAGCCTCTTAAGACTACAAGCTCACTTGGGGTTGAGGCTTGTTTACACGTTGCTTGACTGCCGGCCCACATCTGATCCAAACATAGTAACGTGTGTTGGGGGAAATAATTATTTAAAGTTATTTAATAATTGTGACATTTATTGTACTTGTTGATGGATGAATGATGCTCAAGGTGAGGGGGCAAAGAATACAACTGAGGGGGCAATGCCCCCTCGTGGCGCCGGGCCCGGAATGAGGTTTCTGAGGTTTAGTTCACTTTGTAACACCTGAGTTGTTCCCCATAGGAAATGAAAGGAGACGCTGGACGATGTTCTTCCATCAGAGAACACAGAACCACCAAATAAACACATTTTCAGGGTGATTTCACTGCAAATTCACTGCAGAACTTTTTCTCATATTTTGACCATTTTCACAGAATTCGAATTTCAGATTTTTGTTCTTAGATTTCGACTTTTTTCCCCTCAGAATTCGAATATCTGACGCTTTATTTAAAAATAGAAGTTTTGCTGAGCAGAATGTGATGAAGCTGTTTCTGTGTCTCAGGTTCTCAGGATGCAGCGCACGATGAAGAAACCCTGCAGAGGCTTAAGGTCAGTGAGCGGGGTCAAAACACCGGCGTGTTGGAAACGAGATGGTGCTTCCTCTGGATTTATTACTCTTTCAAACTATATAATCCGACTCAGTTTAAGAATCAGAACCCACACTTTGTTGGGAAGGGGTCGGTGTGAATTGAGAGTAGATCATTACAAAGATCAGGAACAACATGAAGTGTGTAGACATGTTCAAAGTTACTGATCGGTGCATGCAGGGGTTTGGGTATTTACAGTGAGGGGACATTTTAATCTATTCTATATTTATTTAGAATTTTTCTTTTTGCACAAGTAAGCCTTTCTGAAAGCATTTTCTTGGTGCATGATTTTTTTCAGAACATGTTTATCAAAGAGAGATTGTTATTATTTGGCTATTTGTTTTACTTTAGGACACTTTAAATCACTTAGAAAATCACTTTATAGAGCCAGACTTTCCTTCAATTGTAGAAAAGGATGGATGTTACGGCAGATGTTGAGAGGACTCGGCTCTCTGAGGTAAACTGTATTTAAGTGAGAGTAGACAGAAGCTGCTAAGTGAATTTCAGCCATCTGTCTCCCCCTTTTCCTCCCTCTTATCCCTCCATCTTTCTCCCTCGTCCCTCCTCTTCCTCTCTGCCCTCTAAGGCTGTGTTGCATCATCAATTTAATTGAAGACAGAACATCCATCTCTAGCTCTCCTGCAAAAACAGTAGTTTTCAAATGAAGTCAGTCAGTTTTTCTTGGAGCTACGACCTCATCGTTAGCGCTAGCGACTTATCCTTCGTAATTTAAAGTCACATTTAAGAACTGAGTATTCAGATGTTTTTCCAATCTATTCTTTCGGTGGAGTTGGTAAAAGTTTGCTTAAATATAGGAAAAATGCTAATTTAAAAAAAAATGGCAGACTTTAGGGTGGACAGCGCTAATGAAAACCATTTTGAAATATGTTCAGCAGTGTGTTTTTGTGGATATTGGAGCAGTTGAAGCAAATACTTCAGCATCATTTGACATGTTGATCGTCAAAATATGCTGAAATACAGGGAAAAGAAATCGCAAATTATTCAAAATGACCGAATTCCGGTTGGGCTGTGCCTAGCTACATTTAAGCTATCGAATATTCCATCCCAATTTATCTTTACATTTGACATGAGCTAATACCCTCCTAAAATCTACATTTTACGATATACTCGGTAAGAGGAGTTCGTAAAAGTTAGCTAAAAATACAGGCAAAATGCATATTATTCAAAATGGCCGACTTTCGAGAAGGCGGGGCTAATGAAAGCCGATTTAAAATATTTTCAGAACAACAAGAGCAATGTGTGTACACAATGTTGTGAATATTGGAGCATATCGGAATGAAGGGTTTTAAAAGTGAGAACGTTAGCTAACGATACTGGAAAAACGCTCAACATTCAAGATGGCCGACTTCAGAAGAGGCGGGGCTAATGAAAGCCAAATGGAAATGTGTTTGAAATAACAAGAGCAATGTGCGTACCACATTTCGTGAATATCGGAGCATATTGGAAGGAGTGGTTGTAAAAATGCGAAAGTTAGCTAACGATACAGGCAAAAAGCACAATATTGAAAATGGCCGAATTTAGAGAAGGCGGGGCTAATGAAAGCCGATTAAAAATATTTTTAGAACAACAATATCTATGTGCGTACGAAATATTGTGAATATCGGAGCATATGGGAATGAGTGGTTGTAAAAGTGCGAAAGTTATCTTAAACGATACAAGAAAAAACGCACAATATTCAAAATGTCCGACTTCAGAGAAGGCGGACATTTTGAATATTGTGCGTTTTTTTTTTGCTAATGAAAGCCAATTTGAAATGTGTTTGTAAAAGCAAGAGCAATGGGCGTACCAAATGAACATCAGAGGGACTATATGTGACTTTGTCCCTACCGTTCACCAGGGGGCGATAGAGAGCACACTTTCAATTGTTCATTTCAATCCATTTCACTGCAGATTTCTCAGTTTAGTTTTGGAGTAGCTTTACAGAAAGAGTCACTTCTATGGCCCTCAGTGTCGTCTCTTCTTCCTGTCAGGTGACTCACGTTCTGAACGTAGCGTACGGAGTCTCTAACCTGCTCCCAGATCAGCTGGTTTATAAAACGCTGCAGATCCTCGACATCCCCGAAACCAACATCACGTCGTACCTGGAGGAGTGCAGCGGCTTCATCGAGCTAGCACGACAACAGGTGAACACTTCATGTAGAATACACCTTTTATAAGTAGGGTGTCAGATTTTATAGATGGATAGATAGATAGATAGATAGATAGATAGATAGATTGATAGATAGATAGAGAGATACAGTGGGGCAAAAAAGTATTTAGTCAGCCACCAATTGTGCAAGTTCTCCCACTTAAAAAGATGAGAGAGGCCTGTAATTTTCATCCTAGGTACACTTAAACTATGAGAGACAGAATGGGGGGAAAGAATCCAGGAAATCACATTGTAGGATTTTTAAAGAATTTATTTGCAAATGATGGTGGAAAATAAGTATTTGGTCAATAACAAAAGTTCATCTCAATACTTTGTTATATACCCTTTGTTGGCAATGACAGAGGTCAAGCGTTTTCTGTAAGTCTTCACAAGGTGTTCACACACTGTTGCTGGTATTTTGGCCCATTCCTCCATGCAGATCTCCTCTAGAGCAGTGATGTTTTGCGGCTGTCACTGGGCAACACGGACTTTTAACTCCCTCCAAAGATTTTCTATGGGGTTGAGATCTGGAGACTGGCTAGGCCAATCCAGGACCTTGAAATGCTTCTTACGAAGCCACTCCTTCGTTGCCCGGGCGGTGTGTTTGGGATCATTGTCATGCTGAAAGACCCAGCCACGTTTCATCTACAATGCCCTTGCTGATGGAAGGAGGTTGTCACTCAAAATCTCACCATACATGGCCCCATTCATTCTTTCCTTTACACGGATCAGTGGTCCTGGTCCCTTTGCAGAAACACAGCCCCAAAGCATGATGTTTCCACCCCCATGTTTCACAGTAGGTGTTCTTTGGATGCAACTCAGCATTCTTTCTCTATTTCTATTTCTAAAGTTCTATTTTGGTTTCATCTGACCATATGACATTCTCCCAATCCTCTTCTGGATCATCTAAATGCTCTCTAGCAAACTTCAGACGGGCCTGGACATGTACTGGCTTAAGCAGGGGGACACGTCTGGCACTGCAGGGTTTGAGTCCCTGGCGGCGTAGTGTGTTACTGATGGCAGCCTTTGTTACTTTGGTCCCAGCTCTCTGCAGGTCATTGACTAGGTCCCCCCGTGTGGGTCTGGGATTTTTGCTCACCGTTCTTGTGATCACTTTGACCCCACGGGGTGAGATCTTGCGTGGAGCCCCAGATCGAGGGAGATTATCAGTGGTCTTGTATGTCTTCCATTTTCTAATAATTGCTCCCACAGTTGATTTCTTCACACCAAGCTGCTTACCTATTGCAGATTCAGTCTTCCCAGCCTGGTGCAGGTCTACAATGTTGTTTCTGGTGTCCTTTGACAGCTCTTTGGTCTTGGCCATAGTGGAGTTTGGAGTGTGACTGTTTGAGGTTGTGGACAGGTGTCTTTTATACTGATAACGAGTTCAAACAGGTGCCATTAATACAGTTAACGAGTGGAGGACAGAGGAGGCTCTTAAAGAAGAAGGTACAGGTCTGTGAGAGCCAGAAATCTTGTTTGTTTGTAGGTGACCCAATACTTATTTTACCGAGGAGTTTACCAATTCATTCATTAAAAATCCTACAATGTGATTTCCTGGATTCTTTCCCCCCATTCTGTCTCTCATAGTTGAAGTGTACCTCGGATGAAAATTACAGGCCTCTCGTCTTTTTAAGTGGGAGAACTTGGTGACTGACTAAATACTTTTTTGCCCCACTGTATATGCTGATGTAATCGCAGTCAAATCAATCAATGTTAACTTGGAAAGCCACAATATTGATATTTTAACTCAATAACATTAGGTGACATACATTATTGTGGCACATCAGTGAAGCCTTAAATATGTTTTGCCCCACTGTAGATAAATAGATTGATAGAGAGATAGATAGATGGATTGATTGATTGATAGATAGGTAGAGATGCTGTATGAGAAACCAATGTGATTTTGGAACAATGTAAATCTATTCTAGTAAACAATGGAATTATAATCAGTAGAAATGACATGGGACCTTTAAATACGCTATTTTATATATTTGCAGACTAATTTAACCCGTCAGTTTGCACACACAGCTGTTTGCAGTTTCCTGTGACTCAGCACAAAGTGGTGTGTGTGTGTGTGTGTGTGTGTGTGTGTGTGTGTGTGTGTGTGTGTGTGTGTGTGTGTGTGTGTGTGTGTGTGTGTGTGTGTGTGTGTGTGTGTGTGTGTGTGTGTGTGTGTGTGTGTGTGTGTGTGTGTGTGTGTGTGTGTGTGTGTGTGTGTGTGTGTGTGTGTGTGTGTGTGTGTGTGTGTGTGTGTCATCTGAGTGCTGATATGAAATAACCGCAGAAGGAACTCTGATAAACCAGATTAAGTCTCCATGTTCTCCGTGATGGATGATCGCTCTTCGTATTATTCAGTTTGCAGAAGTTGTATCTTCTATTATTTCTACGGAGAACATGAAGCTGCTGCAGCAAACCCTCTATAAAAGGACCAGGGAAAGGCTTTGATTGACGGAAACGTATTAAGACTGATGTGGTTCTCTGGGGGCAGCCGCTCTGTGAAGGCGTCTGATTGGCTCGTGCTTCACCCAGAGGAGACGTCTGATTGACTTCTATTCTGAAATGAAAACACAGATTACATGTCAATTATGGAGAGCGTGCGTGAAGCCAACGCTAATTTAAATCTCCTGTCCCGAGGTGGCCAGTAATTGACGCGTTGAATCAAAACCTGCTCACAGATACTGCTCTGCGCCGGAAGAGAGGCGTTGTTCTGCATGTGAGGCTCTGTGTGGAATAAAGAGACTTTATTCATATATCTGAGGCTCCATGTTCAATGAAAGCAACCTAATTCAGATTTCTGAGACTTTATTCTGAATATAAAGCTCTAAATTAAATTAAATATACTTGTATTATGACATATGAGGCTCCATGTGGAATAACACATTGAATGTATTAAGAATATGAGGTTTAATGTGGAATACATGAGACGTTATTCTGGATGTGATGATTTGATATACTTTATTAATCCCCGTGGGGAAATTGTTTCTCTGCATTTGACCCATCCTAGTGTTAGGAGCAGTGGGCTGCCATTTTGAACGGCGCCCGGGGAGTAGTGTGGGGAACGGTGCCTTGCTCAGGGACACCTCGGTAGCAGTGGCATTTTCTCCCGGAGGCCAAGGGAAGCCAGGCTTCCCCTGTTTTTTCGGATTTTAGTTCTAATTTAAATAAATAAATAAAAACACTTTGTTTTGTTTCGATAATTCTCCTTTGCCATGTGTTGCTGCCGGACCATCTCTCCCCCATTCTCATTGAGTATTTTACAAAGAGTGAAACAGCGCCCCTCTAGATGTTATGGTGAAACAGTAGATTGCACTCACTGTTGCGAGAGGAGGCCAGCCGAATCTGGCTTCCCTTGGTGAAAAAAAATGGAGGGATTGACCAATCAGATGAGGCCCACGTGATGCCCTGCCAACCTGTGATTGGTCAGGGCCATGCCAAGGGAAGCTAGCCGCCTCTTGCTTCCCTTCAGAGGCGGCTGGCGGCTGGCGATTTGATTGGACGCTGCCATCCAATCAAATCACATCAACATCAGTTTTAATACTGTCATCACCGCCGTTAGAAATTATCAAGCAAATTAAGCATTATGGAAGGTGGAGATTTGGCGTACTTAATCAAACATAACTTTACTAAACTTCCGCTACAGCAGCAACTAAAAATTAAATCAGATGACAGGCCAATGCCCGCACTCGAGCTGTGTGTACACAGGGCCGCCCCTCCCTACAGGCCAATCACGCAGGCTGCATGGGGCCCCGCCTTGCGCAGGGGGCCCCGCCCAGAGGGCCTCAGCTGCTGTGCGCAGTTCTCCGCGCACCCTCGGCTGACACGCGAGAGTGAGAGGTGACAAGGGGAGCACGTCTGTAACCCGACACCGTTGCAATGAATCAACATCTGACCAATCACGGCTTTGATACGGCCACTAGTGCAGGTGAAGAGATGTCGGTGAAAAGACAGTTTCAGTCCAGCGCAAGCTAGAGGGAAAAAAACAAAACTTGAAGAAACTAGATTATCACTCGAAGGTGGGTTATTGTATGAGTCAAATGTGCAACTTGCGAATGTTGTATAAGTCAAATGGCCAATTGCCATATTAAAACATCAGCTGCAATTCAGGACATGAAGAAGGCAGTCTCTGCAGAGCATACAGGCTAATGGAGATGCAGTTATTTCCAGCATTCTTTATTTACCATTCATTCAAGTATGTGATGCCTTTTACCTGCTAATGTACAGGAGGAAGAGAGATACACTGTCTGTCTACTTGGCTTACATAACAGTTAAAGTTTACAGCCTAAAAAACATGGAGCATTTTTCCCCCTTTTATTCATTTTTATGTCAATTTGCACATTTCATGGTGACGCTCAGCCTCTCCCCTTAACTCCTAACAGTCATCATCATGGTGACGCTCAGCCTCTCCCCTTAACTCCTAACAGTCATCGTCATGGTGATGCTCAGACTCTCCCCTTAACTCCTAGCAGTCATCATCATGGTGATGCTCAGCCTCTCCCCTTAACTCCTAACAGTCATCGTCATGGTGATGCTCAGACTCTCCCCTTAACTCCTAGCAGTCATCATCATGGTGACGCTCAGCCTCTCCCCTTAACTCCTAACAGTCATCATCATGGTGATGCTCAGCCTCTTCTCCCTTAACTCCTAAGCAGTCATCAGCAATGGGTGAATGCTCAACGCGACTCTCCCCATTAACTCCTAGCAGTCATCATCATGGTGAATGCTCAGCCTCTCCCTTAAACTCCTAACAGTCATCATCATGGTGAATGCGCAGCCTCTCCCCTTAACTCCTAACAGTCTATCAGTCATGGTGATGCTCAGACTCTCTCTCCCCTTAACTCCTAAAGTCATCAGTCATGGGGGGTGGATGCTCAAGCCTCTCTCCCTTGAACTCCTAGCAGTCATCATCATGGTGATGCTCAGAGGCCTCTCCCCTTAACTCCTAACAGTCATCAGTCATGGTGATGCTCCAGACTCGTCCCCGTTAACTCCTAG